CCTTGCAGTCGATGTCGATGGTTCGCTTGGAGTTACCCATGATCTTTTACGCTTAGGATTCTCAAAATATATCCACTTTTCATCGTTAGTCACAATTCGATGGAGAAATGACTTCCTTTTGTACCTGGCGAGCAGCATTTCGCAAGTGGTTTTTCGGTTTTCTTGCTGTCTTTCATTCAGTTCATGTGGAACCCATTTTCCAATCTTCTGGATCTTTGTCATGGATTTCAAACGTATGGAGACGGCTTCTCGTGTCACATTCAATTGATCCGCGAGTTGTTGTTGAGTTTGAGCGTCATCCTCATCCAACAATGCTTGCAATTCGCTGTCTTCAAACTTTTTCGGTGGTTTTCCACGTTCTTCGTTTCTCACGTCAAAATCGCCACTTTTGAATTTTTTGAACCACTCAAAGCACTGTGATTTATCAAGAGCATGCTCACCGTAAGCTTCGACAAGCATGCGATGCGATTCTGCAGCAGTTTTCTTCAAATGGTAACAGAAAATCAATGCTGTCCGCAAATCGTAGTTTTCAGGCACAAAATTCGACATGTTCAACGCTATTACAAACTATACTGTTGTATGAAACTTGTATTGTTGTGAGTTGAAAATCTTTGTCAGATATCTCAGAACAAGGAAATGGCGTCAATGACGCGGTCTGATGGCAACTACATTGATAGCTATAGCCACCTATATATATTGGTAAATTCCGGTTTCATATTTACATACCTGGTATTGCCTTTCAAATGCAAGAGTTTAATTATAGCGCAATATTCAATTTTTTCCATTTTTATAAAATGACGACACAAATGATTGTCAAACAAGAACTGAACGTCCAAAGTGGTCACAATTGTCACAAATATCTTTCGTAAGTATCACGATTATAATACCAGAATGGCTTTGACGAGTAACGCCATCTTCATGATGAGGCTCAAAACTTTTCAGACGACGCTCGTATACTATTTTTATTCAAAATTACCTTTGGAAATCGAATTATAAGTACATATGGACCAGTCCGATGGCTGGCACGTTCTTCGGATTTATCTCCGATGGATTTTTTCTGTCACGAAGAGTCAACGAGTTTTCCGCTGGCCACTATAGTGTCCAGTCCGGCTCTCTATAAAAGTTAAATATCAACAAAATCAATAAAATTTGTTCACGTAAGTTAATAAGTTCACATAAGTATTCCTTTATTAATGAGTATTTGTAATAAATATTATGTAATAGAACCAATAAAACATCAATGAAAGTTACAATCTCGATAGTGCGTTGAATTTGTCTTGAAAATTCCTACAATATTATGGAAAAAAATTGTATGGTGCTATTTAAAAAATTCAAGATAACCTTGACTTTTTTATAAAAAAAAAATTTTTTTTTAAATTTTTTTATCGCATGTAGCCCGCATGAAATAGATGCATAATCACCTTACAACCTTTTTTTTTTAATTGTCGAAAGTTTCTAAAAAGTCGTGCGGACCGTTACGCTGAACACACTGTATATATGTATGTGTACATATATATGTACATATATATGTATATATATGTATGTGTATATGTATAAAATATGTGATAATCACTTTATATCTCTTAATATTTTAACACTCTATTGTAAAACTGTATATTGCCATACATCGCAATTATCACTTCGTAATTAGAAAAATCTGATAGATTTGGTCAATTATTTTGTATATTGGGTCTACATTTTTTACTCTAGTATTAACAATAAATTGATAATTCCTAAGTAAGTTTATCTATTCCAACTTCTCTAAATTTGAATCTGGCAAGAGGGGCCGGATATTGTTAAGTAATCTTTGAGATAATAATAGTTAGCATTCAATAGTTTCTCAAATAATAAATGAGTAATAAATGAGTTAATTTATGCAATACTAGAATTCGTTGGGCTTCGTGTAGCAGTAGTTCTTCTAGACTACGAACATTATCCAAGTTTTATTATAATTGCCTCTGGCTCGAAGCGAACAGCTATTTCTGTGTGTTCAATAATCCGATTTTCGGTTTCAAATAATTCGTATTTTTTAAAGGGGGGTCTCTACTTTATTGGCCAGGAAAAATAGGTAATTTTTAGGAATTTATAGAAAAGGAACTATTAAAGATAAAATTCTAAAATTTGGAATACATTTAAATTGCTCTTATTTAAACATAAAAAAAATTACTACTTGTAAATAAATTTGTAGAATATATGCGTAGTGTAGTATAAGTAAAAATATTTACAATTGCTTTACTTTATAAGCAAATACAATTTTTTCAATTATAAAAATAACAAGTGCCATAATCGCACCACAGCACAGCATCATAATTATTAAAGAAACTTGATGTAATTCAATTGGTTTCGGTTTCTGGTTGTCTTCATATTGTTTAAATTTATTTTCCATCCAACGATCTTTCAATGCGCTCAATAGTCCAACTTCTATTAATTTAAGTATCCTATTTATGAAAATTATTTGTTAATAAATAAAATTATAAATCGTAGTCTAAGATTAGATTTGTTGTTATACAAATTAATTTTGCCATTGAGTAAATATATGTATATCTCAACTGTTTATAAAAGTATAAATATCGAATATGTTACTATTAAAAATTTTGGGAATCGTAATAATTTATTAATAATAATCAACATTTTAAAATATTATTTAATGAATAAATCTTTTTAATTATTTACTTTTCTTTACAAATTATTCTAAAATTATCAACATATTTAGAATTTAAAAAATTTGAATCCAATTTTAATAAGAATAATAATAAAAATATATAAAATTTTAATCTCTTCAAAAGTCTTTGTTTTAATTATAGAGATATTCCAATCCCTAATAAATTAAATAATAAAATTTTGGTAGAAGTTTTTACATATTTTCAAATTAAATTGAGCGATTGTATAATACGCTGTCGATTTTGAAGATATTAATTTTCAAAAAAAACCCATCTACATTATTTTATTTTATATAGATGCTTTTTTACCCAACATCGATGGTTCTTTTGTATTTAAAATTCCTTACGATGCCGGAAGTTACCCATGTTCTAATAAATTCTTCTCCAATGTTAATCAAATGACATTTAATCTCGCCATTTACTTTATGCGTTTCTTCGTTTTGAAACATGGCATATTTTTCTGGCAAGGAGCATATCTTTTTATGCATTTCTTGAAGTGTTGGTACTATGATTAAGCGATTTGACTTTTTTGCTCGTACTATTGAATCTGTCGTAAGTACCTATAACATTTAAGTACCAAGCATTCGAACATTTAAGTTTTATACACAAAAAGCCTCAAACTATTACATATATCAATGGAATATATTGATAATATATGTACCTTGAACAAGGTTTCTCCTATCGAATCTTTCAAAGTGACAACGCTGAACTTAGTATTATACACCAAAGATTCAAATTTATCAAATGGTGGTACAAAACCACTTTTCGATAAAAACATAAATAACACAGCACCAAATGACGTACATATTATAGAACAAAATAATCCTAACGATACTTCTAATATTTTTGACTTTCCATTGAGATACTCGGGAATATAGCCTATAGAATATTGCAATTATTCGAATTAATGATTTTTCATTATTCTCAATGTGATAAAATGACGTTTTAATTTGGTTGAATATATAATTAAATATATATTTATAAATTTTTTGTACTATATTATTATATAATCTGTAACGAATAATGCTCGAATCAATTATTTGCTAATATACATACCTTGATTACAGAAGTTTCCAAAATTGTAAAATATGTGTTCGCTGAAAGATGCGGTTTTACGTTTATTTTTATTCTGTATGAAAATACTTTGTGTTAAAAAGGTGCATAGACTTAGTAGTACACACATAATCAGTATAGTGCACCATATTTTCCAACAGAAAATTTTTATCATCCATTCATTATCATATACCACTTTGGGGTGAATATATAATTGAATTCTATGAAATATTTTTTAATTATGACACCAATACCTTATCTCTCTCTCTTATAACGTAATTATCTATTAAATTATTCCCCTAAGATTTAAATAAATATTAAATCAAATAAACATTTAAAAAGTTTAATAAATTAAACTAACCTATTTATCCAAAAAGGTACTGAAAATTCGGTAGCCATAAGTCGCGATATAAATGTTTCTAACTTCGGTATTGCCATAGTTTCATTACGAAAAATAATACCTAATAATCCGTTTTTAAAAGATCTGTCTTTTTCTGACATACCTAAACCATTTATATTTGCTTTCACTGGCTGTAATCTAAAAATATGAATATCTATTTATTTTATGTTATAAAATAAGATGTTACACCACAATAATCTATTTTCGCGATGTGAAATATATGCGCGATCTTACGTAAAGTTTAACGATTCCGAAAGTAGATTCCATATTTCCCCACAGAGTCCCGTAACTTTCGTATTGTTATTGTAAAAATAAAGAAAATACGGCTCCTGAAATGTACGTACACAATCAACGAAATTATACAACTCATTAATTTATAATTGTTAATATGCCGTTATTTAGTAAGTAACATTCATTGCCAACATAAAAGTATCGTACATATTCACATCAATGTGAAAATAAATATTCTTTATACTATTATTAATTTATACGATCATATATTTGTAATTCTTAAAAAATAAATTCTAGTTAAAACTAAAAGTACTATAACTTTGTTATTAATTAATTATATCAACTATCTAATCTTTATTATGAATTTTTAAAAATCTTGTTTCTTAATACTTATATTTAGAAAAGATAATAATATCGGATATTTTTTATAAGAGTATACCTGAAAAGATGTTAAAGTAAAGTTTTGTAGTTGAAAATTGTGGATCTCGAGTGCTCGACTTTGTCTGAAGCGTTCTTGTTGCATCATCGCATAAGTCGGCACGCTGGAAATTGGCACAAAAGTTTTTTGCATTTTGTTCCAAATCACACCGTTCATTGTCGTAAACGATTGCAAAATTCTATTTAATGAAACTAGAAGTAATGGCCATCTTATAAAGCATTGTTATAAAGCATTACAAAGATTTACAAGATTGTTGCTTAGTGAATTGATGCGATTTGAAATTTTTATGTATTTTTTATAAATCCGTTAATATATTATTTTCGATCAATATTTAAAAAAAAAACTGCAGTAACTTATTGTAATGATCGGATTGACTTCTGTGATTAGAAGAAAAAAAGACGTGTGCCATTATGTTACGTTAGATAAGATCTTGCCTTACATTCTCAGATTATTACTTTTCGTTTTTAATACATTTTTTATTGAATGTAAGCAAAATACGTGAAAAAGTAATTATGCCATCATATTTTAAACTTAACAAAAGTGAAATAAGCAAAGAGTTGTATTCAAAATATATATAAAAATATTATTCCAGTATCTAACTTTGATCATAATTGGCGTTCAATTCTCTTACTTAGTTGATGTATTCATATAAGCATTCCCGTTCTAAACTTAATATGGAAGTAAGCAATAACAATAAAATAAAACTACCGTGAAAGAATACACCTCTTTTAGCTTTATTAAAACGCAAGAAATATCCTATATTGGATTTTATATTACGTTTATACAGAGTGTCCGACATAACTGTGATCACGATTTTTCCGGCACTTCCGATGATCTGACAAAAATTAGTATGAATAAAAGTTAATCAGTTTTCAATCGGCTACAAATTGCAATATTAAAAATTTGCAAAATACTCTTTTTTAGGAAAAAAGTTAAGGTCACCCTAATTTTTTTTAATGACACTACATATTTTTTACTTCATAATATTGTAACTGATCAAGACGAGTTCAATGACCTGCTATACTATGACCTTGAGATAACCTTACAGTAGTGGGATCAATGAACGGAAACGTTTTCGTGAAAAACTATTTTATTTGTATTAAATTTTTATATGGACTATTCTACAGTAGAAACAGATTTTTGTATCTGCTACTTTTTACAGACATGGATTCTTGTTTTTTAAATGAAACTGCATACAAAACAACAAATTATAACCAAAAATCGTAGCATAACAAAAGAGTACAATAGAATACAAAATTATATAATAACAAATTTAATGAAAGAAATTACGTAATTACAATAAGTGTTTCGAATTGTCCATTTTCTTGTAGGCACAATTCTGCACTATGTAATAAATTTCCATTAGTTGCTCCTATAATGCTGTCATGGCGAATTTCTTCACATGCTGTACGGATTCGCTGCTTTAAATATTCCATATTTTGAATTGGTACCGCGTAGACTAATCGGGGGACCAAGATGGCCAAATTTCTTCTAAATGTGCTAAGACCATAAGAATATTGCCTGCAGTTGTAGTTAAATGCGGTTTGTCCTTTTTCTTCTTTTCAAATTCTCCATAATTTCTTAAATTCTTTTCAATGTTTCTAAAACATTGTTACACATGGGTGATGTCTCTATGGGTACCTTGTGGCATACAGAATTGCAGTTTCATGTGCATTCCTTTTACATTTATCGAATATTAGCAGCATATCAACTTTCTCATTATAGGAATACATTTTCGACAAACTGAGATTGAACTAAGATTTGCTCTAACGACAGACTAAGACTGAACACAAGAATACATACTACATACACGTGGGTGATAAATTGTGAACTATTACATTCGGGAATATCACGAATTCCGAAATGGCTACGTCTGTTCCTCACGTCTGACTGTAAGGTCATCAAGGTCATATAGTATAGCAAGTCATTGAACTTGTCTTGATATTAGTTACAATATTATGAAGTAAAAAATATGTAGTGCCATTTAAAAAAATTAGGGTGACCTTGACTTTTTCCTAAAAAAGAATATTTTT